TTGCGACCTGAATGCTGACCCAGATGCTGAAACAGGGCGAGCATCTGTTGGTCAGCAGCCGAAATCACCATTGCCCAGTGGCTTCGCAACTAATTTGGACCTACGTGAACATCTCGTGAATTGGCATGCGAAATTTGTCGCTCGTGCACTACTCGCTCCAAACGTCACCAACGAAACACACTACTGGCTTCTGACAAATATTTCCTACTGCAACAATGTTTGTTTTTAAATTAAAATTCTAGAAATATGTGTAGGGGATTTATCTGTTGGTAAAATAACCATTGAGCTGTTATAACCTTCAAGAGTGGTAGTTAAATGCCAGGATCGCCAGCAGATTGATGATAACCGGGCAATTTAGCACCGGTCAAAGCAACTGGAAAAGTTGTCAGCTCTCATCTAGTCGAAAAACAGCTCGGTTTGATTGCGAAGTTATAGAACTGTCAACACCAACCTTGACGTATCTTTAGGTAAGGGGAACTGAAAACTGAATAAATACTTGTTTATTCAATGAGAGGCTATTTGAGTGGCCATTATCGTCATTTCATTCAAGTACCACTGCTTGATGTGCTCGAAAAATTTTTCATTATTAACCGTAGTACAATTTTTTCTACTCGAAGTGACTATTATAAAGGACTGCGGGAGAATGACCACATATAATAAGACCACACATCCACGAAGGCGACAGGCTGGCACATCCGGCACTTTCGGGAATATCGTTTCCCCAACGTTTTGTGGAAGCATTCCTATACCACTAATATCCACATATTGACTCGGACGGGTTTGATATTCATAGAATATATATGTATGTAATAAATATAGAAGAGTATCGGAGTACACTTTAATGGCAATTATTAAAACTTACCTCTGCTCGACCATGCAATATGCACTCGTTTTATGAGTTCGGGCGCGAGCTGCGAAATTCGCAGTATGAAATTTCTTACCTACGTATGTTTTCAGGTGTCACGTTCAGGTCTGCTATTTCCTCTTCCAACATCCAGTTTCTTGCTCAACATAAAAATCCATTACGGCCCCCCTCCCCAAAGCCCTTTCCCTTACTTCCAACTCCTACCACCCAGCAAGGTCAGTTCCTTTTCAATGAAAAACCCTGTCCCTCGCCTCCACCACCCTGTCCCTCGCCTCCCCTTCTTGGCCATGCACTCGCCTCTCAGTCGGATCAGCCGTGTTTTAACAATTTTCTACTTTGTTGTTCCATCGCCGCGTTACTTTTAATTAGCGATGCAGCTGGCAAATTCTACATTCTTTTTTCATGTTGGATCTGTCTCATCCACTCAATCCCATGGAGCCGCTGAAGCACATTCTTACATCGCATTGACGGCCTTTCTTTTTAGGTCAGAATGCAGACATGTATTTTTTCTAGCCTGCTAATTCTGATCTTATACAGTTGAAAGAGAGCCTAATTCCGACTGTGTGTAATAATCACTCATTTCCCTTCCATCCTGCTCTTTTCTCCTTTTTAGAAACACCCCTCTATACTGATTGTCATGAAGTATGAGGGAGTCCTGATTAGCACTGTTTTTTGATTAGTAGCATTCATGATATGTGATGCCTCCCGACTGTTTACAGTCAGTAGATAGCACGTTTCAGTGAGTGTTACTCGAAAGTAACTAAACGAAAAATCATCAAACATTCTTCAAACATACCTTGCTCGTATGTTTTAGAGAAGAGCAGTAATAACCTAGAGTACGTAGTCCAGCGAGTAGAAATCTGTGCTTTGTTTGTTAGCTGCACTCTCAGCAACACTCTGGGCACTATCCACTAACAATCTAGACGTTTTTGCACTGCTAGTGTTGACCACTGCGCAAAAATCTAAAGAAGAAATGTGTCCGCGTTTTTTTTCAGGATGCGAGTATTGGTGCTGAGATTCTCGATGAAGCGGATCTGCAGTCTCCCAAGGATTCTGTAAGTCCCATTGCCGGAATCAGTGTAACAAGCGAGCGACCGCCAGTAATTTGTAGTGGTAAAAGAAAAAAGGATTGTGCTGGAGGTTTCCGGTTTTGTTTCAGGAAACTGATACTGAGGAACAATTGTCATCATCAAATTCAAGCAGCCAAAAACGCAGAGCTTCAGAAACTGATGAATTTGAGCCACCGGCCAAACGAGCTGATCGCTTGGTATGTTTGCTGATCTCTATATTTTCAGTGCAACGGAGGAAAGAACTCATTGGTCTAGAAGTAGCCATATTTGTCTTCGAGTCGCTCGCTTCAGGGGCCGCGGCATCAGTTTTAAACCTTACGTTTAAGCACGCCCGCACTTGATAAACTTTCCAAGAGGGAAAGGCTGATTGGAAAAAACGTGGGCATATTTTGCTCGCAAATCATTTGTACACAAGGTTACATCA